ATTAATTAATATAAATTAAAAATTAATTATTAATTAAATAATATTTTTAAGGTAACAAACATTATTTTTTTTATTGTGTTTAATATAATAAAAAAACGATCATTTAGAACAGTCAATTAATGTGATTTTTTTTCTTGTAAAATTGATATATGGTTGCATTAACTGATGATTTTACAAAATTCTTCACATTTCCTAATATAAGATATAAGAACACAAGAGAGAGAAGAAAAAAAGGAGCGATTAAATGCAAATTACTCATATTTGTAAAAACCGTGCAAATCATTCTTATCCGTCGATTTCATTATTTAATATTATGAAATTGTTTTATATAATAAATTTTTTGATGAAATTGTTTCATATGTGATTATTTTGTTTTTTTTATTTTATGAAGTATTGTTTCATATAATACTTTTTTTATGATTGATTGAATGAAGTTTGTACGGGTTGTACAAATAACATGGTTTGCAAATGGTTTACTTTGCAAACCATCAATTTCATAAAAATCTTACAAGCTAATCACATTCATCCATTTTTTTTTTATGAAAGATCAAGATTGAAACAAACTAAATAAGTAAAGTAATAAAACAAAATTCATGTTGGAGACACGGAAGGGCAAAAATGGGGGGAAAACATGTTATATGAACATGTTTCATTATAGTTGTTATACATATGAATCTGATGCAATCATATATGACCTATGAACATGTTTCATTACGGCTGTTATACATATGAACTTGTTTTATTACAATCTGTTATAAAACACCTATTAATATAAACATGTTTCATTACAACTGTTATACATATGAACCTGATGCAATCATATATAACTCTATTTCATTTAACAGTTTGAGTATGTTTCATTAGAATCGTAGTGGCAGTTTTTTAAACATAATTAATCTACATTTTTTTAAAATGTGGTGATTTTTTTCAAAACATTTAATGGATACCTTAGTCAAAACTTTGCTAATATTGTGCTATTCAATATATCATCCATATTTATATAAATATTATGTTGTTACCAAACTTATCTGTTAATATTAAATAATTAACAAACATAACTATTGTAAATTCAAATGACCATAATACCCTTATAAATTTAAAAAAACAAATGAATTTATGTGATTGATTGTAATTAGTTTGTAAGGTTTTTAAAAATCATTTGTAAACAAATGAATATTTTAATGATATAATGAATATTAAAATATATAAAACAAAAAATCTATTGGAATTGAATGCGATTTATTTTAGATATTTTAACTTTCGATTATTTATTTTTTAAAAATTATAAAAAAAAATTGTTGGAAACTATCTAAAACTTTCAATAGATGATTAAGAAATAAAAAAAAAATCAATTCATTCAACCAATGACATTAAGGTGGTGTTTGTTTTATAAAAGGTGTTGAAGTCTGGAGTTTGATTTCACTTCTGGTTTATAAATGGTGCTCCTGAAATCTGAAATCTGAATTATTAAGATTGTTTGTTTTTACATCTGAAGTCTGAAATATGAATCGGTCAAACTAGTGCAAAAATATAAAAGATAAATAATTTTTTTTTTCAAAAGTACACAAGATAAATAGTTTTTGCTAACAAATTTCTTTTGGCCCCCCAAAATATGAACCATTTAGTGGAGGGCGAATTAAGATTAAGAGATATTAAGGAATACGTTTACCACTTAAAATTTCATATGATATTTATTTTATAAATAAAACAAACGTTCTTAATACTCATACGCTTGAACGAATCATACTTCATATGTATTAAGAGCTAATTTTGAAAAAAAAAAAAAACCTTAAATTAACATTATTTTATATAAAAGTTTTTAAAAATGTATTGTAATCATAAAATTATAAAATATTTAATGATGAAATATCTACAGTATAGAATCTGTTGGAGTTGAATGTAATTTATTTTAGATATTTTGACTTTTAATTCTCTGTTTTAGAGAAATTACAGAGAACTTGTTGTAGATATCCTAAAACTCTGATTTTTTTTACACGGAAAAAAGTAATATTAACTTTCAAACATTTCAAACTTCTATTCTTATTGTTTATAAAATGGGTAAAATAAAAATATTGCAGAATTTTGAAATACTTTGTATACATCATTGATCTGTACATTATGTTCAGATATTTTATCTTGAAAAATTAAGATGTCTTGAGAGGTAAAACTTTAATGTTTTATAATATATGTATGATGTATCTGTGTTAAATTCTTTTGTTTTTTTAACGCACGCCTCCAGAGCATAAGCACACAGTGTAAAAACTATTACAATCACGTAGATTAACATGCATGTTCATCAATGAGTGTGTACTGTAAAAAACAAGTATATGCATATGAGCATATTCATCAATGAATATACACTATATGAAATTTACCAGTGTTATATAATCATCAATGAATATACAATACATGAATTTGATCAATGTATTGTATTATGTAGCAGATATATTTATCAGTAAACATGCACTACTTGAAATTCAAAAGTTCATAATATTATATCAATGAATATGTTTACCAGCAAATATATGCTTATAAATTTTTATTAATGTGTTGTATTTACCCACAAGCATATTCATTAATGAATAACCACTGTTTGAAATCCATCATTGCATTGCATAGTTTCAATCTGCACGTGAGTATATTCATCAATTATACGTACATATATTCATCAACGAGTATGCACTATATGCAATTTATTAGTATACAGTTTCATGACAATAGGTATACTCATATGTGAATACTATAAGTATACTTGGCAATGTGTACCGTAACGTTGCGAGTTTGTCATGTATAACAATATATAATTAATCAATATTGCAATCTATAAGTAACTGTTTATAGGATTCACTGAATGAATCTATTTGTACGTACATTGATGTGATATTCAAGCAATAAAAACACTGAATTAAACCAAACTATTCTCAATCAAAAGAATACGAAAGAAACAGAAGGATAATGAGATATATGACAACTATAACTACTTACTACAATTTGACAATTCCCTTAGTTCATCGTTGTAGATCTTGCAAAATGTACTAAAAATAGCACTGACATTAAAAAAACGATGTTATTTGGAGTTGTCAGATTAAAACAAGCGTTGAGATTGAGTTCCCTAATTATCAAGATATTTGTGTTTCTCATGTGAACCTGTGTATATTCAACTATCTGCTAAAAAACAGAGAAGCCGTTAATTTATCTGGTTTTAAAAGCTTAAAAAATTGGTAGTCAACCATAAAATTTTCGAAAGCCAAAAATGAATCCAGTAAGTGGACGTCAAATCGAAGATCTTGTCTGGGATGCTCCCGAGACAGAAGAAGTGTAGTCTAAAATGGTACCACGCTAGATTCAATAGAAAGCTACAGTTGACTAGTATGAGGTGCTCATCGATCTCTCTAAACAGTTACACGTCGACACACAACGAAATAGTCCAAACTCAACAAACAAAATCAGATACAGAACTGACATCTTGATATACTGATTTAGCATGATAATAAATAAAGTCAGTATAAATTCCATTCTAATAGAAACCGCCTATTTCTTACTTTTAACTGATTAGATTGTTTCGATTTAACTGGTTTATTTAATTTAATAGTGAAAATATCTTTATAGATTGATGTCCCACCATATCTTTAGGTGGATGGTCCACCATCTTATCTTCTCCAAAGAGGTCAAAGCAAACAACAAAAACACCACAAAAATTACAGGACAAAAAAGTCAAAATAAAAAATTCCCTCGTTTTATACGGAACTCAAATCACATTTAAATATAGTTTTTCAAAACCCCTATAAACCGCCTTTCTCTCCCGGTTCCGATCTCTACTGAACACACAAACCCTTTTACAGGCAACAAATCGCTAAACTGCGCTTAAAACCCTAGAATTTCTCATAATAATGTCGGCCGCCGGAGGTGAAAGCGGATTAGCTCAAGAAGATGAGAAGAAGCCGATGGATCAATCGGCGCATATCAATCTCAAGGTCAAGGGTCAGGTATAGATGCATATGATTTCCTTTACTCATTTTTGATTGATTCTGCAGTTTGTTTTTGTTTGTAAGTGGATCGATCGTTCTTTTATGCTCGTAATTGCGTTTTTCTTTGGTGTTACGTCGTTCTGGTGAATTTTGTTGGTGTTTAGTTCGTAGATAATTTAGGTGTTTATTGTTATTAGGATGTTTTTTTGTTGGTTTCAAGAGATTGATGTGTTTGTTGTAAGTGATGAGATTTTATATAGGAAGGACTGCATAGTGCCAACCTATTTTGTTTGTTTGAAAGAAGCGTGTCGTAATTTCAATGTAGGTTGGTTTTGAAGTTTGATTCGATTATTGGTATGTTAATTCTGTGAAGTGCAATTTGTTGATTTGGTGATAGCCAGATCTTTGTGTTTATTGGGAGAGAGATAAGTGCGATTGCCTTTGTTCAATTAAATGGTCCACTGTTGGTAAAATTGCCTAGAAAATTTATTTGTCTGTTTTCAATAGATCCTAGGGTCAACTATGCAGTATTCCTACATAGAATCACCTTGTGACCTAAAATCTCATCATTTCTCATATATGTTCAACTGTATGGTTTAAAACACGTCAATCGCTTGAAACCAATAAAAAACACCTTTACAAACAATAAGCGCCTAAATTGTCAATGAACTAACCAACTGCAAGATTCAAAAGAATAACGAAACACCACAGAAGTACGCAATTACACATAAAAGACGATCAAATTAAAAGGCAATCAAATAAAGTACAACAATCGTCTCGTTATTAGACTGATTAATTGTCTTAAGATAGATGTATCGATTAGGTATTTGTTTGATGTCATGAAACCGATAGAACCCTTGTAGATGTGGTATTTGTTCACATCCATAGTTCTTCACTCTTCATGTCTTTTAGATCAACTTCTTTTTGTAAATATAAAGAAGAGACGCCTGATGTTGTTGGTTGTTCTAGGATGGGAATGAGGTGTTCTTCAGGATCAAGCGCAGCACCCAGCTGAAGAAACTAATGAATGCATACTGTGATAGGCAGTCGGTGGAGATGAATTCTATTGCTTTTCTGTTTGATGGGAGGCGTCTTCGAGCCGAGCAAACTCCTGATGAGGTAATTTCTTAATTATTTTAATGACCCTAATGATCTGTTTCTGTTTATATTATATATATATAGGGTTGGGTTTACGTGAGACCAAAACATTGTGAAGGTATATAAAACACCGAACCGTACATAAAAAACCCTGCGAAGGTTTACCCTCACAGTGTTTTGATGTGAAGTTTTAGTGTTATTTTTGTGGTTTCATGGATCTCACGAGAACAAGATGGTCTTTCATGATCCCAAGTGTGTGTGTGTGTGTGTGTGTGTGTATATAGAGGGTAAGGTTCAACGAAAAGGCAGTCGATTTATGAGAGGGTGAGGATTTCCAAGATCACACATGATTACATGTCCTACCAAAACGTAATCATATATGATTAAACACATGTTGCAATCCCCACGACCTTTGGTTGCATTCACCAAGTGTGTGTCCCTTTTCGACGTGTTTGATTATATATGCTTATGTGTTCGTAACACATGTAACCATGTGTGATCTTGGAACTTCTCGCCTTTTCCAAATTGATCAACTTCTCACATGATCCTCCCTATATATATGTAGTATGGAAACTGAATGGCCAATTTTGAAATAAGATGATTAGTTGTAGGATAATTCAGCTTGTGATTTTAGAAAAATAAAAAGGTTATGGAAAATTGTTTGTTTATTGCAGCTTGAGATGGAGGAAGGTGATGAGATTGATGCAATGTTGCACCAAACTGGAGGGGGTGGGATGTAAGTGCTAGTACTGCTGCTGCTGTTGTTGTTGTTGGTAGGTTATGGGTTAAGGTTTATGCATTATGAATAAGAGCTGAAAAGATGTTACCAGAGTAGTAGTAGTAGTTAATGTGTGAATTAGATAAGGTGTTACATGAAATTATTTCTAGTGAATCAAGTGTGCTTTTTAAGTTTCAATTGGTTGTGCTCTCTCTCTACCTTTTGGCTATATGAAATGCACTGCGATTTATGTTGGATATATTACTGTTCTTGCTGATGAACTTTTGACTAGAATTTGCAATCCACATCTTATTCACATACCAGACTGAATTTTAGGGGTTGTTTACCAATCGCTAACCCATCACTCTCATTTACCTTAGTGGGTAAGATTTTTGGCCATCAAAATGTCTTGGTCAATAATCTTAAGCGTCGATTGTTAAGGGGTCTTTTACCAGACACTTAGGTGTCGTTTACCAAACGCTTACCCGGGTAAGCGCTTACCAAGTCATTTTACTTTACTGGATGAATATGACAAGGGCTAATAATCTTACTCGGTAAGAGCGAAAGCAAGAATCGAGAGTCTTACCCAGTAAGTGAGGACGAGGACTCTTACCATGGTTAGCGCTTGTCGAGATAAATTGTTGCATACTATGCGTTTTAGTAAATAAAATCTTACCCGGTAAGTAAGCGATAGTGTTGAATTTTAACAGTAAGTGATTAACGGGTAAGTGTTTAGGTAAATGGCCCCTAACTTTGGTAAGCGATTACCAGTTAATTACCTTACTTGGTGAGCATAATAAAGACCAAAAATCTTATCCGGTATGAGGGAAGACAATGATCGAGAGTCTTATCTGGTAAGCGCTTACCGGGTTATAAATGTTTACCATCAATCCAATTTGATGGCTAAAAATGTTACGACATGAGGTAAATAAGAGTGGTGACTCTTGTCGATAAGCGTTCGGTAAATAGCCCCCAAGAGTCATTACTTTTATTTACCCGGTAAGATGACCGGTCTTTGTCATGTCTCTTATCGAGTAAGATTCTTGTTACTTGTCATGTTCATCCAATAAGATAAGTGAATCGGTAAGCATTTATCCGGTTAACGTTTCGTAAACGGTCCCATAGTGTCGTATAATCCGTCTGTAGTTCTAGCGAAGATCACTTTTGGTAGAGTACTATTTAACATGTTTGAGTGCGAGCTACTTTTGTTGGAAGTCCACTTTAGCACTAAAAAAAAAATGGGTTGTTGGTTGAGTTCAATTCTTATATTTTGTATAGATCTGTTTCAAGTTAGGGTGTGTTTGATACTTAGGAAATGATAAAGTAAAACGTATTGTTTAAATATTGACGTGACAATTAGATCGAGACTGAATATGACTGAATGAGTCAAAAACGTATTTTTTATCGTACCAAAACAAATAGAACAAAAAGTTCAATAAATTACAAAGTAGTGATTTTTAATAGTTTTTCAATTATTGACAAGTTGGATCGTATGTTGTTCTTAAAGAAAGTGATTCAGATTGTCTGAAATAACCGGTAAAAATGTATTTTTAGAAGTAATTCAGAGAACAGCTATTAAACAAATGTTGAAAATCAAATGCGACATCGTTATATTTATTGGGTTTTCTTTCTACCGATATATCAACGCCTTAGATTTCCAATAATCCATGAAGTTTATGCAAAACGCTCTTTTGACGTAAAATGAACAAACGTTTTCCTTTTCAAGAAGAGGGATGACCCAAGTTTGAGAGTGCTCGTCTGGATTCGAATATGAGTATTTGTCTACCGTGTAGCTCTCAACCCCACGATACTTAAAATTAAACAAATTCAATATATCTTATTCGAAAAGATGACGGTTTATGGGGGTGTTTACGGTTTAGTTTAATACGGTTAATAGGGAAAATAGTGAACCAAACCGCATTAGCCAGATACCTAACTCTCCGAACTGTAGGTTGAACCAAGCCGCATTGAAACAAACCAAACCAGGGCGGTTACCCACGTTCGGTTCACGATTACCCGAATTTATAAAAAGAATTGTTTACAATATAAACCGGTACTGAAATATAACGTTTAAAACAACTAAATAAAAATAATTGAAGTGCTACAAATTAAAATAAGTTTAAATGTATAAAATTATCATTTTTCGGTTAATGTCGACTACTCTATGACTTCATACCACTAAATTTAATCATTTACCGTAATATTTGATACTAAAACATAAAATAGTTCCTTTGTGGTCACGGAGGTTCAAATGCGGTGACTCCGAACTAACTGCAAAACAAGTGGTCGTTCTGGGATTAGTCGGCTCGCATAACGAATTGGATATCCAGGTTAATAAAAAAAACATAAAATAGTTTACTCATTTAATTTTTTATTAATTAATTAATAAATAATACTATAAATATCGTATATGCATTATATCCGTTTTGTTTGGATACCTGTGGATACTTAAAATTCAAAACCGAAACTGACACCTGAATATCTGTTTTTTCAGTTTCAGATCAAACGTTCGCAGCTTAGGTGGAAAGCGAATAAGACCTCCTCCTTCTTTTTCCGGATAAAAAGCAATGACGGTATCTGAGAAATAAACATCGGTTAACTCTGTGATTCAGATTGGTTTCTCATTTGTTTTAAGTCTAACCAATATAACATATATTTGATAGATTTTTTCTTTAGATTGGTCCTTCCTTTAATTTGACAAATTGGCCCATAATCCGGCCCGTTTTATACAATTTGATATCGGATCTAAACCATGACCCGTCGAAGCTCGAGGCGTGATCTGTGATGGGGATTGTCACTGAGAACACATTTTGAAGTTACTGTAATGGCCGAATTTCCTATGCGATTGACTCCATTACCATAGTGCACATTAACGAACACTCAGATTCTCATGGCTCGGTTACTGTCAATCTTCGCGTTGTTGGTGTTCGTACTCCACGTTACCTCTGAATCCACCGGAGAAGTAGTAGAACAACTCGAAGGAGAAGAATTCACGGAGGAGTTGCTGTTCAGGCCCCTTCCTGATCGGAAAGTTCTCTCTTATTTTCACTTCGAGAGTAAAGTTCCACGGACAAATTCTTATGGACATCATCATCGGCTTTTCCCCAAAGCCATCTATCAGCTGGTATGATTATAGTAGTAGGATAATCACTTTACTCGATCAGATTGGCGTTTTATTGATTCCTAAGGTTAATCAGTATCCAATGCTGTCTAATTATTGTCATGCTTCGTTCTAATTGAGTTTAGGGTTTAGTGATTTATAGATTAGGATGATAATTGAAGTTAATTGAGTTAATTGCTGCATTGTTTTATTGATTATATTCAATCATATATCTAGTTTAATTTAGGATTGGGGAACGAGAAAATGTGCTATATGGGATTCTAGTTTCCGAAATGGTAGTGGACCTCATTTAGTTCCAATTTTGAACTGATATTGTTTCAAATTTATAACCAAATCCAAGATTGTTGAAGTACTGCCTGTATTGTTTTGTTGATTTTATTCAATCATATATCTAGTTTAATTTAGGAGTTGGAAACCACAAAGTGTGCTATATGAGATTCTAGTTTTGGAGATGGTAGTGGACCTCATTTAGTTCCAATTTTGAATTGATTTAGTTACAATTTCTTAACCAAATTCAAGATTATTGAAGTATTTCCTGGTATGCTGGTTTAAATAGGTGGACAGTTGATGGTGCTTATTGATTTTAGGTTTAAGAAACTGTGGTTGCATTGCTGCTTTGAAAGAATTTTACATGGCAGTCGATTTGATTGGTCTCTCCTATTGTAGTTGGTGCCTGCCATGGAAATGCACTGCCTTGGTGGATGTTTGAGATGTGATTATCTTATATGCTTAGAAATGAAGTATCAACTCGGATGTTGATGTGATTTGTTCCAGTTGGATCTACATTTGATTCAATTCAATCTACAGTTGCTGTAAAGGTTGATGTGATTTTCTATATATCTTGGTTTGCTGAAGCTATATGCCAAAGCAAGCAATACTTCTTTGTGTCCGGAATTAGTGATCAGGAATTTTGTGAAGTTGCTCCTGGGTGCTGATTTGTAGCATTCTAGAAATAAAAATGATGCAGTTTGGATGAGGTGTGGATGGTCCAATAATGCTGATGCCTTGATGTTGAATACTATTTCTCTATGCCCACAGAGCAACTATAGGATCCTCATTTAATATAAAATCTTTGGACATGATGCTAATAATACATTTTGTTAGCTTATCACGGGTGGTAGATCCAATTTTATGGCTTACCTGTTTCATATGTCCGTACCCTTTACACATATATGTACATTGTGTGAATAAAGAAGTAATTTAACGTCTTGAAATAAAAGCAAATTTACAACGAATGAGGTGCACCCCCTCAAGTTAATAGTCATAATATCCTATTTTGCTCTTAGGACATACCTTTGAATCCACAAAGAGAAATCAATCATAAAAGAGATACTAATAGCGGCCGGTGGGTGATGCACTTAATTGCATAGATCTGCTCATCTGCTGTCAAGCTACTGTTTTAATAGATTACACGTTGGAAGTTGAATAATTATATTGGTCTTTTATGTTCTTTTTGATTTAATCGACGGTTATTATGGCATCCTTTTAGATGACAGAAACATATACGATCAATTAATTTTTCCCCTAAAATTTGAATCATTCCTTTTATCTGTGCATGAAAGTGTATTGTCTTCTTAATGATGTGTTTATCCATCTTTCGTTTTATTCCTCTATATTTTTGTCTCTGTTCAATAGCCCTGGTAACTTGTTGAACCCTAAATGCTGGAAACCAATATAGGTTTTTTTGTTATGATGTTTAGTGATCAAGGAATAACCATGTTATTTGCCTCTTGCCCAGGTTCACAAGTATCGAATTACAGAAATGGAATTGTCTTTCACTCAAGGTCGTTGGAACTATGAAAGCTGGGGTGGTTTTGATCCCGTTGCAAGCAGCAATGCCAAACCTCCTGGAGTTGAATTGTGGGCTGTATTTGATGTTCCCCAAGATCAGGTTGATGCTTCCTGGAAAAATCTAACACACACACTTTCAGGCCTCTTTTGTGCTTCAATCAACTTTCTAGAGTCTTCTACTATGTATTCTGCTCCTGATTGGAGCTTCCGATCACTTTCAGGCAATTTAAGATATGGCTCATTGCCTAGAGAGGCTGTTTGCACCGAGAATCTGACTCCCTGGTTGAAGTTACTTCCATGTCGAGACAAAGCTGGGCTTTCTTCATTGATGAATAGACCATCAATTTACAGAGGATTTTATCATTCTCAACGGTTACATCTAACTTCAGGTGAATTTGATCTGGTGGCTTCAGGTCATGGAATAACGCTTGAGCAAACCCTTACAATTGTTCTTCAACCAGATGCTTTGGAAACCAATGCTGCATTCTCCAGTAGCAGAAAATTACAACCGAGCTGGTCTATGAACTCATTGTTTGGAAGAACGGTTGAGGGAAAATGTGCTCTTGCCAAGTCTAGTAATGTGTATGTTCAACTTGAGGGGAGCTTAGTTTATAATATGAAAGATACATGGAATGATATTGAGGGGTATGAGGGTGAAGAAGTACCATATGAAGGTTTTGGAAGTAATCCGAACTTTGGATTTTCAGTTTCTCCTGACAGAATGATGAAAGAAGTAAACAGCTTCCATAAAGAAGGTTCCTCTATCTTATATGGTTTCTCAATCAAGGATTATCACAGTTCTAAGCCATTTGATTTGGGATTCAGGTGGAAGCTTCCTGTAACTTGGTCGTGTGTGAAGGCACCATTACGTGCTAGTCGGTTCCTGATGGGAAGCGGGAATGAGAAGGGTGCTATTGCTCTCTCTTTGCAGTCTACAGAATGGAGTGAAAGTCTCCCAAAGGCTCACAACGATGAAGAAAAATGTAGATTGCGGGTAGATGTTTTCCAAGTTGTGCCTTGGTATATTAAAGTATATTATCATACAGCAAGACTATTTGTGGATGGAGTACCCCAATCTCTTGGAGATGTCATAGAAAAGATGCATGTCTCACCCTCTGAAGATAAGGTGTCTCCTGGGGTAATGGAAACGATATTGAGATTACCTTGTGACATGAAATCAGCTTCATTGACTTTAGAATTTGACAAGGTACAAATGTTCTTTTTTCATGCACATTAATATGGAACTTCTATGTGTCACCTGCGGTGGTCACTTCCTTCCTCTTCAACTGGTACTTCTGTGTTAAAAACTTACCTCCATTGAGTTAAATTCATCCCTTAGTTTAACCGCCTTGGGGGCTGTTTGGTTGGTTTTCCATTAAGTCTTGTATGGATAAAGCTGCCTAGTTGGATTAATCATTTAATCTGTCTGTATAGATTGAGAAGTTTTTTGTATGAGAGGGTTTTTTCATAAATGGAAGTAGCATGTTTTTTAATTGGGAGAGGCAGGTTTAGAAGAAATTTTTTTTGGCTTTCTGCATAAAGCTCCCTCCAGAAGTTTACTGAAGAAGTCACTTTATATATCATTAAGCCACTACCAAAGAGTAATGTATAGCTGACCGAATAAGCTGTGAGTCCCACTAAGCTCATTAAGCTGCTGACAAACAGGCCCTAGTTTTGAGTTGTCGTCCACCTTAATGCAGTCATGTGTTTTTAGTTCCAAAGATGGCTATAATAGTGATGTAATAGAATGATATTTTGACCTGCTGAACCGGATGCTAGAACTCCAATAGAAATAGAAGCACCCAAATGACCATTGAGCTTGTGAAGAGTTGGGAGGGAGTTCTAAAGAGACATTTTTTGTCATCCCTCTTATGAAGAGTTGAACACTGAACTTCGATCTCTGTTACACCACAGATTCGATTGACAAGGGTTATCGATTGAACTCAACAAAAAGAGCTGAATGAAACAGCAGTATTCGAGAGACTGGAAACTCTCCCAAGGGCTGTCGCCAAATTACTCAAAAGATTCTCCTCCTTCTCCTCCCCAAACCTACTCTATTTATTCCCTATGCAAAACAGAAAATGGAAATGGAAACAGAAAGTGGGAGAAGGAAACCAAATATTTATAACCAAAAAGAACATCCTGCCAGCGATTCTCAATTAAATATTCCTTTTGCCCCTCCTTGCATAGCTGAATCGAATAGGGGGTCTATCAATCTCACTCGGTTCTTGATGAGGAATAGAAGTACTGATTTGAATTATCCTAATGTCAGGATCAAAAACGTCACGCGTTACTTATTGCCAAGAGTTGTATTTTATTGATCTTGCTTTTTGTTTATTTATTTTACAAGTAAGAAACACATTTGGCACTTGGCAGCCTTGTGCTTATATTTGCTGATATATTACTGCTACTACAGGGTTTCTTGCACATAGATGAGTATCCTCCAGATGCTAACCAGGGGTTTGATATCCCATCTGCCATAATCAGCTTCCCGGACTTCCAGACATGCTTAGAATATACACAGGATAACACGTCGATCAAGTCACCTATGGTGTCTAAGATGCAGGTATTTGAGATTTGTACTTACGAAATTTTGAATGTCAAAGATTCTGTATCTTCTGTATTTTACTCCATTTCACTTCGCCTTGGGTCTGATTTCTGTTGCAGGAAAAAAGAAAAATATTGTCCTATACAGAAGTGCTTCTTGTTCCTTTGACAACCCCTGATTTTAGCATGCCTTATAACGTGATCACGATTACCTGCACTGTCTTTGCGCTATATTTTGGGTCACTGCTCAATGCACTGAGAAGACGTGCTGGTGAGGAAGAAAGATTTTTGAAAAGCAAAGGTAATATTTTTCTTGCTGGAACTTATTAGTGATATTTTACTCTAAATTCGCAAATGCATGCTTCTAAGATTGTGAAACATAACTGCAAATCTAGTTTGTTTGCTTTGAGAATAGGTAATATAAAGGACCTGTAGCACTCTGAAGCACCTTCTCATACTTGCATAGATGCCATCATTCATTACTTGGATTCTTTGCTATTTGACTTTTGTATGTTTGTTTTGCTTTGTTCTGCTGTTCTTTCTCAACCTGAATGCCCTGAAATCCAACCCGAACCCAAACCAAAAAGAAGGTGTTTGTGCAAAACCCGAATGCCCTGAAATCCGAAAATCCGAAACCCGATCAACAGGGTTTGGGTTGGGTTTGATTTTGGGCCACCCGACCCGTCTAACCACTGTACAGTTAGACTCAAACCAAACAGACCTAGTAAATAAATCCCACTCGAAAGTAGGGTTTGGGACTATATAGTTAGGGACTGTTTGGTTGGTTTTCCATCAAGTGTTGTATGGATAAAGTTGTTTGTGTGGATTAATTTGTTGTATGGATTAAAAAGATTTTTGTTTGGGAGGGTTTTTTCATAGATCGAAGGAACGTGTTTTTTAATTGGGAGGGGGAGGTTTGGAGAAAAACTTGGCTTTTTGCATAAAGTTCCCCCTAGAAGCTTACAGGATAAGCCACTTTCTATATCATTGTCACTACGAAACAATCATGTATAGCTGACAGAATAAGCTGTGATTACCATTAAGCTCATTAAGTTGCTAACAAACAAACCCTTAGACTGGTTAAAGGACTATTCACAAACCCACTTTTTTTAACGACCTAGGAAACCATGCCGTGTGGATGAAACTTTTATAGCCTGGTGATTAACACGTCTTGTGTAATTCTATGTAAGAGCATAACTCAAACTCAAAACCTCTAAATCAAGTTGAGCAATTGGCAACCAATTGGGCTTTCCCGAGCCCGATCTCATTTAGCTGAAAATCAACTCTCCTGCTTCTCCTTGAACATATGTAGTTATATACCGCATATAAACACAAACTTAACCTTTTGCCTTTTATCGAAAACACAAGCAAATAACTCCCTTTTTAAACCGACTTTTGGAGGTTACATCCAAAATCTGCACTTTCTACCTATACTATACTATACTGTACATACACATCTTATGAAATTATAGAACCGGCATATGATCACTTTTACGAATACACCATGCCAAAGTTTCGCCAGAAATAACCTAAAGTTGAGGGTGTCACAATTTTCTCTCGATCTTGCAGATAAGAATACCAGCAAGCTCCGGTTGTTGTTATCCAAATTGTCAGCGAAGTTGAGAGGAAGAGCGTGGGAACCACCCACCTCAACACCACCGTCTTCATCTTCGTCGCCAAAGTTGATAAGCTCAAAGGTAATTATAAAAATCGTATTAATAGCTGCGATTGGTTTCGGATGGCAATATTATTATGGATGACCTCCAGAAGTAGGTAATTGTATACTAGTGTGTCAAACAAAACCCAAGATTTTGTTTCATTAGGTTTTACAGAAACTAGGAACAGTAGAAGTAAACAGCTTTGTTCTGTACCCATTCCAGATTTTGTATGATTATTTTCAACTTCACCTGCTCCAAGGTCTTGCCATTTAGAAGATAGCTGGTTACTTTGGAATACTTCCCGAGTAACATCCTAGGCTAACTGTACCTGATATTGTCCGTTTTTTTCACACCTGGACTCACGGTTTTAAAACGCATTTGATAGAGGAGGTATTCAGTCACTTATTTGTTCCCTTTCCGAGGAGATGTTGGATCTTACAGTCCACCTCCTTTGGGAATCAGCATCGTCGCTGACTCTAATACCATCGTAACATCCCAGTACTAGATATTGTCCGCTTTGCCCATATCTGGACTCATGGTTCTAAAACGCGTCTGATAGAGGAGGTATTCGATCACTTATAAGCCAACATTTGTTCCCTTTCTCAATTAAAGGTATTATTTCGCAATGTGAAACATTTTAATATATATTTGATATATATTGTTTGTTTCACAATATGGAAAAACACATTTTTTAATGGTTATGGGAGTTATCAACATAAATTAGGTTTTCATCTGATTATGTCTATAGAGACAGGTAGGGGCGTCAGCAAAGTCAAGTTGATTTGCAGGTTATTCAAGTTCTGCTTGAAAATATATTACCAGGCTCGAGCTCAAATAACTTTTTCCCAGTAGAGCTCGAGATCGGATATTTTTTCAATGTTTGAGCTTGAACTTGATATTCGTTTATGAGTTTGAGTTTGAGATTGATTAGGTCATTTATTGACTCTACCTCAATAATCTTTATACTTCAATTACATGATTCATGAACACATGAACGTGTTTGACTCGAAGAAGTGTATGCTCGAATGGCTGGGTGTAGCTTGACTCGAGAAATTTAATCGAGCTTTTAAAACGAGTCGAGTCTAGTCGAAGACTGGTGTTATGGAGCTCGACTGTTAAAAGTTAAAAGAGTTTTATGTATGTTTAGGATGACCTTGAGTTTGACAATTATAAGCTTGAACTTGAGATAAACGAGCTCGAGCTGGAGTAGCTTGTTAAAAGCTCGACTCCTTGGTATGTTGCGACCAAGAACGCTAGGTATTGGTTCGTGCGGGTTGTTGATTGTTGCCTGTTGGTTACAAGCATGTGTGACAAGACGTCTAGAGGCTAGGGTCAACTCGTATCAGGTAAGCACTTACCGGTATGAGTTATCATTTTCACTTACCTTATCGGGTAATATTATCGGTCTATCAAAATGGATTGCGGTAAACGTCTGTTACCCAACAAGCGTTTATCGAGTAAGATTCTATATAAAAGAGATTAAATCTGTAAAAGAGAGAAATAATATTTTATTAAATATTTTATTAATATGGTTAATGTTAGAATTGTTAAATTTTAGTAGTTGTTGGAATTAGATGTAACTTTATTTAGATAATTTGTTTTTTCACATTATATAATTATAGCATAGCCACACCACAACAAAACATGGATTTAAAATCTCTGGCACGGGATTGTCTCCAATAGCTTATCTATAATTTCTATAAAATAGAGTTTTAAATATTAAAATCTTTAAATAAATTGCAATCAACTCCAATAGATTCTCTATTTAAATATTCTATAATTTTATGATTCCAATACACTTTTTTTAAAATACATATATAACGATATTAATTCAACCTTTATTTGTGTGATGAATAAAAAACTCATTTCTCTTTCTTCTCTTTGAACTTTTAAAGAATCATCTATATTTGGAGTTTTCGATTCTCTATTTTAGAACATCTCCAATATATTCCCAAAAATTCTCTATAATGGAAAATCAAAATCTCCAACGGATTTCCCACTTTGAAGAATCCAACATTGATTATAATATTAAAATATTTCATTCGTCTATTAAAATATCTATTCTCAAAGTTTCCTATTGGTGCTCTTACTTTATAATCATTTTTTTTTGGTGATCTCCATATTTGGAATAAAAGAAAAACTATTCTCTCTTCTACTTTCTATATTTTGGAGATAGTTTTTCAGAAGCTGTTGGAGCAAAATATATGCTCAAAATCCCCATTTTCTCAATTTTCGTCATTTTGAAGAAGCTGTTGGATATGCTTTTAGAGAAGGAGATAGGAAAATTGTTGGAGGAATATATAAAATAAAAAGTTGATTTTTTTTCATAGAAAAGTTGTTGGAGATATTCTAAAAATAAATGTTCAAACGTAAATATTGAAATCTTTTATTTAGAATAGAGGAATTACATTTTTGTCCCTTTGGTTTGTAAAAAGTTACAGTTTTTGTCCTTACAGTTTAGAAATTGTGATTTTTATCCCAATAGTTTGCTATATATTGTTATTTTCGTTCTTATAATTCATTGTTGTTTTGGAGAAACAAATATACGTAAAGAACAACGATACAAGCAAAAGCAAGTATTAAAGAAACACAATCTAGGTGTGGAAACTACACACCCCTAGTTTAACTTAGGGTTCTGGTAACCTAACCACCGACTCACTAACCCTATCCCCTACCGTCTACCTTTGTAGCTTCCTTCCTCCCGTCTAGATCCCCGCCCCTAGTCTTGCGTCAAAAAGGGCTCTTATCAGAGATCATGTTTTCATAAATGTCTAAACTCGCTCACCAACATAAAACCAAAAAATTTAATTAGACCCTCGACCTTCTTTTCCCTGAAAGTTTCATTACAATCAACGACAAGCCATGTCTATGTCTAATCTCGTTTCATGGCTTGCCAAGCCTCAAAAGATTGGGTTTGGGCTTTTACACCGTTGAGTCCATATGGGTTCGTTCGTATAAATCCAAAAGAAAACCGTAAAACGTTGTGAAAGTAACATTCACAGTGTTTTTACTGTGAAGATTCGGCTTTTTTTTACCTTCACAGCTTTTTGCAATCTATTAATGTATGTCCACAACTCTTTCATATAACATTTTCACAATCTATTAATGCAAGTCCACAACTCTTTCATCAAAACTAATGAATGATGAATTGATAAACACATTCAAATACAGATATAAACGTATTAATATTCCATAAACTGATAACTGACCTATCAATAATCGCTTGCTTTCTTAAAACCATAAAATAAAATCCGAGGAACAAAGAATCAACAAAGAGTTTAGTTGGTTTTTTAACTTCATTTTCATGACAATATGTTTTAACTGAATAAAAACAAATCACATATGATTTTACACCGAAAGCATTTGCAATTACTAGAACAATCAATCCAAGGGTATGCAGACGACTTGGCCCGCAAAAGTCATGCAGAATCACATGTGATTTTGCACACGATCGTAGTGCAAAATCACGTGTGAATTGACAAGTTCTCGTGTCAATTATCGTTTGAATACAATCCTAATTGAACATGTCCTTGTAAATTTCCCAATTGCTATGAAATCTAAAACAATCCAAAACCTCAAATCTGTACCAAATCAAGATCAATCCTGTATACAAGAGGATCATAATTTCCAAAAAAATGATATTAAAATTAGGAAATCCAGATCTAAACTCAAATCCAACAACAACAAATGGTTAAACAAACTCCCCTCATTTCACCACCCCATACCACATTAAGAACAAAACATTCTGGGAAAACAAGGTTTCATAACAAATCACCTCTCAAAAATGTCGATTTTTTGTTTGCGATTGAAGGGTTTGATTGTCTTCAAGAAGACGATCATATTCAAGAAGCAAATCGGCAGACTGTTTCTGAAGAGAAGTGACGTGAGCTTCTGCGGTCTCGATCTTTTTATCTTTTTCTTTCGATTCCAGCTTAAGTTTCTTTAAGCTTTCCGATAAACTTGACATCTCTTTCTGCAGCCGCTTGATTTCTTCCTTTGCTTTCTCTTCGTTTTCTTTTAGCTGCAACTTCTCGGCCTCCAGCTTTTCCACTTCTTGTTTCGATGAACCTCCGTTTCTTCTCAAATTGATTAGTTTTTGAAGATGATGATGCATTCGATCGATCAAAAACCCAAGATATAGAGAGAATCCTGCAACCTCAAAATATACGAGTTTGAATTTGGTTGTAATTTCAAATCTTATAATTTGATTCGATCCATGAAGCAAGCATCAAAATTCTATCTAGATAGTCATCATACGACTTGGGATCACGTGAGACCAGCCCGTTTTCGTGAGACCATAAAATAACACCGAATCTTTACAGCAAAACACTATTAAGTCACAATTGTTGTGTTTGCCTTCGTGTGTTATTTTGTGGATATGTAGAGCTTTTTCGTAAGTCGGGAGTATTCATGGAAACAATGTCTCTAGGGATAGAGGTAAGGTCGGCATACATCCTACCCTCGTCAGACTCTGCTTCCAAGTTGGATATATTAGGTAGATTTGGTTTCGTTTGGTTTCGTTTGGATAGTAGAGCTTATTATCCAAAATCTTAACGTAGCAACGGGAATAGAACCGATTTTTCTGTATATAGTGAAGTTGTCAATGGGACAAGACAACTGTATCGTGATTAGTTCGATATATTTTGGTCTATATATCACTTGCATACTTGATTTTTCTTTCAATGTCTATGTTTATGCATGTTATATAGACCATTTGAGATATAGTTGAGACGATCCATAAACTTTTGTAGTGATTCTCGATTAGATTGCTTCAGGGTGCATTTGGTATGCACACAGACAGGACTAGACATGCGAGAGTAAGGTATGCAAGTGAGTGAATTTCAGAAGGTTTTTAGGGTTTTAATTTAGCAGAGGCAGTTTAGTACTTTATCAATCTTGTCTCATTTTCTCAATATTTGTTCCACCGATCTTGGTACTTCTTTGTACTTCAAGTGCCATGATCACACAATTTGGGTGACGTAAACATAATACAAATACTAAAAACCAAACCAGACCAAACAGACACAGTAAATCTCACACAAGGATAAAGTATTCAGGGGTAGGATATACGCAGACTTTACCTCTACCCCAAACTAGCTTAAACACATCTATTGTCAACATGTCCAACAACAAACTAGCTTCTTAAGAACTACAAGAACAAAACCAAAAAACATATAACCAACGAAGTTGACGTTTTATCCTTTATATTATCTTCTTACATTATACGTCTTGTGAGTCCATCTAACACTTTTCAAGACCCAAACAACCTCAAATCCTTTGGGGTGGATGTCAGATCTGCAGACATCCCACCCGCTTAACCTACTTTTCAAATGGGAATATCCCAAGTTCGTTTGGTTTAGTAATATCAAATCTTATGGTCTGTTTGTTAGCATCTTAATGAGCTTTAATGGACTCGAAGCTTATTCGATCAGCTATACATGAGTTTTGGTAGTGGCTTAATGATATAAAAAGTGGCTTATTCAGTAAGCTTCTAAAGGGAGCTTTATGCAGAAAGCCAAGTTTTTCCCAGAGCTATCCCTCCCAATTTAAAAACACCCTCTTTCCATCTATGAAAAAACCCTCTCAAACAAAAACCTGCCCAATCTATACAAACAACTTTATCCATACAAGACTTGATAGAAAACCAACCAAACACCCCTTCAGTTTCTTCTTGCACTCCATAGAAAGAAAATATGTAACTACTCGCCACAAACCACAATCCTAACCAACATGAACAAAATGGCCAACCATAAGATGATAAGAATGCGACAGCTACAGCTACTAAGCAAGCATTTGACTATAAATGTTTTTTTAAATATATAATATTTATATAAGCCAAACACTTGCACACTCAAAAGGTGAGGTTTGAACCCTTGACCTTCTAGAAGGTTGGAGATTGGGATCTAGGGCGAACCCGCTATGGTGCATACAATGGCACGAGGCACCGCTTCTTTCCTCCATCATAGTGTAAAAAGATTAGGGTTACGAAACCACCGTAATATTTTGTTGGGTGCAACCATATATTTCTTGAAACTACAATAATAATACAAACTCCTCTAGGTAGAGTTGGTTTACATGGTCTTTTCTTCCCATCCGAGCGTGGGTTCGAATCCCATTTGCATCATTTCTTAGTTTCTACATTTTTAATTTCATGTTTATTATGTTTTTGAAAAAAAAAATTGAGATATAAGACTTAAATACAAGACCACACATACGAAAAGTAACAAACTAACCACGTAATCCCATTTGCATCAACAAACTAACCAACAGATTGACGAACTAACCAACGGATCAATGATACACAGATTGGTTTCTTAGGGTGTGTTTGGTATCCAGACATGATAGAACAGAACAACGTCTGTTCACCTAATTCCAGCTCGTTCCATGGGGTGGGGTTGTTCCACGTCTGTTCCACTATGTTCCACATAAAAGTCCCCACCAAACTTGGAACAATGATCCATGTTCTGTTCTGTGTGGTGTACCAAATGCACCCTTATAGTCAAATGGTGACACCACTCGAAAATACTCCTAGATCGGTTGGGATCTTACAATACCCTGGATACCGACCGGCCAACAACCATTTGGTGACTATAAATGTTTGCTAGAAAGCACTTGTAATCAACTAATCATGTAAAACAATCGAAAACATGAATGAATATGCATCAATGGGAATCAAAATAGTGGTGGTAATAGCAGTGTACCCATAAGTGAAGCCTCTAGCAGATGAGTCCTCCAAAGAACCTGATCCATGGGTGTCATCGTCCCAACCTTCGCACCCTTATTCTGAATTTTAACAATACTAACCCAATTCGAAAACAAAATCACAGACATTGTTCCAGCGATCGTTAGAACCGTACCCTTTCTCATCTTCACCTGATCTAAACCATTCATCACCAGCTCTCTAAGTGGCCCAATTTTCACCATTAAAAGAAAAGCCACAAAGGCCTCAGCAAATACAACAAAGAACAGTAACTGTATCATCTTCAATAACTTCCCCGAATCTCTATGTATTTCAAATCCCTAAACTTATCGCATCTGGGTCTTCGATTTCAAGTCAAAAAACGATGGATAATCGAACACCCACTTCAATTGAGACTTCCAATCACATAATGAACATGAAGTGGCATAACTTAACTAGGGTTTTAGCCTTTTATACGAAGAATAACATAAAACCCACCTGTGAAAAACAACAGAAAGTGGGTTTCGATAGATTGTTCGACTTGGTGAAGGAAACGCCACAGATCTGAAGGAAGCAGAAGCGAAAAGGGGATGAAGTGGGAAATGGGTTGAAGTTGGTGGGTTTCAGGTGTTGTAGAAGATGATTTGGAGATGGGATTCGTTTCAAGCAAGAGAAAAGGAATTGAAAAGGTGAAAGCGATTATAAGGCATTGTATGAAACTGGAACGTGAATAAAGGGGAGGGCATTGAGAAATGGTAAGAAGATGGCGGTGGTGGTGTCGATATTGGGAACTGAAGTTGGGATTTGGACTTTGGAGTGGGGGGCAACATGATTTTGGTCTTTTTTTGTTTCAAAAGTCTTCAAGTTGTGTGGTGTGTTTGTATCTATACTATATTAAGTATTTGATAAAAACTTTTAAAAATTATTTTTTATGTATAACGTATTATTTATTAATGTATGATATTTAAAATTCAAGATTATAAGTAGATTGTGCATAAGTACAATTTATTACAGCTTTATATCTGAATTCGTGTAACTAACTGCAGATAAATATAATCAAATACTGGATAAACATCTCATTTTAAATATAAAAAATCTAAAATATAATTAAAATAATCATTGAGTTCTGACCGAATACTTAATTATTATTTTTATAAAATGTTATATTATTAAATCAAAAATAAATTTTTTCATTATTAAACTTAAATTAAATTATAATAAAAGAAATAAATTCAAGAAATTACATAAAAAAAGAGAACTTTTAAATAGTTGATTGGATATTAACACTGATATATATTTTTTTCAAATTTATATTTTATTAAAAAATAAAATCATTATTGTTTGCTTAAAAACACATAAAATCGTATCATAACATCGACAGTGACAAAGAATAATATAAAACATTAAAATCGACATGTATCTCGCTGTATTGCGCGAGTACCCTTCTAGTATTTTCTAAATGTAAATTGTGTGAAAAAAATAATGTTACTTATTAAGAGATGAATATTTGAATTGTTAAGAGATAAATCTTGTTTGACAAAAAAAAATTCGTCTCTTAATGGTTTTAAAACCTTCTGATGGTTTTGTATCTTCGGGTCTTCCTTAACCATTCAATACCCTAATTTCATTCTGAATAATTACCAAACAATTATATTTCATTTTGCACTATATTATAAAAGCATCTTAATTATTCTAATCACTTAATTATTCTGCATCAAATCATTCAACAACTACCAAACAACTACTAAATAAAACACTAAACTCATATGTAAACTAATTAAATTGTTACTCAATTTTCATTCAAGGAAAAAATATTTTGAAATTTGATGTTTTTCAGTTGTATTTAAAAAACATTTATTTTAGTATCTAAATTGACAGGTAAAATGTGTAGAAGACATTTCAAATATAAATCGTGACATTTTTATAAAGTATAAACCAATCAAATGATGTATTTATGAAAACGATGATGGTTTGTTTATTATGATTTGGATATTTATAGAAAATGATAAAGTTCATTAATTATGATCAATGCTTATTATGAAAGAATCAGTATATTTGTTAAACCTTATATTTATTAGATTAGATGAACGATTGAGATTGATTTTTATAATATGAAATAATGTATTGGTTTGTATAAACCACTTTAACCATATGTTAAAATAGAAAAACAAAGCAAAATATCATACTTTATTTGTGATTTTACAAGAAGACAATAATAATGTATTTTTATTATCAGACTGTCAACTAATCGTACGTATAACTTTTTGTAAGAGAAAAATACTTCATCTATCATAAAATAAGTGTTTATATTTTTATTTTTATTTGTACAAAAATACGTGTCAACTTTGAAAATAGATAACTAGATTCTCAAATATACCCTTAATTAATACATAAATATTTAAGAGACGTGACGAGATATAAATTAAAGAAGGATAAAATTGTCATTTGATTAACTAAATATGTAATAGTTATGCGTGTTTACAGCAATGTTTTTAACTGTAGACACTTATTTTGAGATCGATGTAGTTAGGGGTGCTCATGGGTTGGGTTGAGGACATTTGAACAAGCCAACCAATGCTTTCGGTTTGGAAAAATCTTAACCCAACCCAAACCAAAATGCAACCCACCCCGTACGGGTTGGTCGGGTTGATACTTTGTTATATTAAAATATTATTCTAACTTTGAATATGTTATTTATCTACTCATAGTTTCTTTTTCATCATCAATCATTTGATACAACTTATTCATATTTATTACGTATATCACATTCAGTTTAATTTCTAAATTTACATATATATGTTCACAGTTACTGAATGAGTTATATAGATATATGAATAAATTGAAAATATGTGTATATGAAAATCATACATGATAGTGTAATTGTCTAATATATATATATATATATATATATTTATAGAAATTCAACAATCATGTTAAATCCAAAAAATAAAAGGATGTCAGGTTCATCGGATTGGGTTGGGTTCAAAAAACAGTAACCCGATATCAACCCAATACCTACGGTTTGACAATTTTACAACTCGATTAGACATCGGATTGTTTCGGGTTGAATTATTTCGCATTGGGTTGGATTAGGTTGTTCGGATTGGTCGGGTTTTAAAGCAACCCTAGATATAGTAATGATATGGATCATATGGTGATCATGGGAATCGGGAATGATTAATGTGTGTGTTGGGGTTTGATACAAATTGTAACCTTTTAAAACACCATATATTAAATGCTTTGGTTATAAAATAAGCTAGAATTTTTTTCTAAATCTAAAACTGATAGTCGGATCCATTGATGTATTTAATTAAATCATACAACATATGGTGTTTAAAATTTGTACAATTAATACAACTCAATCTCAACCGTCCATTTAATTTGATGAATATGTAATTTCATAAAAGTTTTAATTGTTTCTTGATATAAGTTATTGATCATAATTAATGAACCGTATTCATATTTCATAAATATTTAAATCATAATAAATGAACTCTCATCATTTCCATAAATATTTCAATTTATTGGGTTGCATTTGTTGTACAAATGTGATGAGTTGTATTTGAAACAAACTCTCTCTCTCTCTCTCTCTCTCTATATATATATATATATATATATAAGGTTGGGTTCACGTGAGACCAAAAGTTTTTCGTGAAACTCGTAAGAGCAATTTACGTGCATTGATCAACTTTATAAGCTAATGATCTAATTGTCTAAAGTTGTACGATAGCAATTTTGTGATTATTGAGAAGTCTTGTGGCGTTTATGAATGTCCAGATCTGACGATTGTAAATCTAATTTAAGGGTTGATAATTGGTCTTACGGGTCTCACGAAAAACCTTTGGTCTCACATGATCCTAAGTCTCTCTCTCTCTCTATATATATATATATATAATGTAATTTAGTCAACTCATAGATACATCTAATTAATTTATTTTTAACATAAATAAGGAAACTAAAGCTCCCAAAAATAAGAAACCCATAACCCCTAAAACAAAATATTAATTAATTGTTCACAATGTATTCAAGTTTTTACACAATACTTTTAAGGATCTTTAGGGTGATTTTTTTTTTTTTTTGGTTTTTTCTTTTTAGCATCATTGTGTAAATATTGTGTTCACATGACGATCACAATGTGTACAAAATTAGATGATCTCAATATGCATCCAAGATCTTACACAGTTCTATTAGCGATTTTAAGTGTTCTTTTTTCATTTTTTTTATTCTTAGTGTCATTGTGTTTACAAAATGATCACAATGTGTAAAACAATTGGTGGTCACAATGCTTAACTGAAACAACATATTTAACAGTGATTTACATCGTGATACCATAGATTTTTGGTTCACAGGAGATGCTTGACGGATGTTTGGACTTGATTATTGAATTTGTTCACGATGTGTATCCAAGTACTTACAAAATGTTTTTAGTGATTTATAGTTTTTTTTCGAGTTTTTTGGGTCCACAATAGATTATTTGGTGGTACTTGTTAAGTTATCCGGTGTTGACAACATGTCAGATTCCTTGTTAGGTTTAGTTTATTTTTTAGATAATTTTGTTAATGGGATAAAAGAGAGATAGTAACGTTTATAAAATATCCCTGGTAATATTTGCTTCGATTTTAATTAAAATTTATCAAAATTGTTAACTTCCTAATTTTAGATTTGTGGTTTGTATCGGATCTAATGGATCTTACAAATTGAATGGTTTTTAAAACAAGGGCTCTATATATACGACTATCTTAAACTTTAATACAATAATGCATAGTTACAGATAATTATCATAATTACGTCTCAACACATATTTTCACAATTATCTTCAAATAATATATATAGGGACACGTTCAAATGAAAACCGTGCATTTCTAAGAAACCGTGTAAACCAATTTCGACTCATAGAAAAATTTCATTTTTTTCTAATTAAATTTAATCAATATGGGTATTTCGGTCATTTACAATATTTTATATTAAATATAGAAGTTATTAATAAATTTTAACTAAGGAAACGTAATAAAGGAAACTGTATAAATGGTAACATTTAAATATTTAATTATATTATAATATTAAAAATTTGAATTTGATATATTGTTATGAGATTGAATCTGCAAACGGGTCTTGAAGATTGAATTATATTATGGAATGAAATCGTAAATTATGGTTCAAATTAAAAAAAATGTTAATGAAACAGGTTTCGTGAAGGTGAAACTGGTTCATGTTGTAATTGATTCATGAGTAATATGAAATCGTTTCATGGTGAACCACGTTTCAGTGATGGTGTAGTTGATCCGTTTAGTAAAAAAAAAATGGAACATGAAACGGGTGCATAATTTATTTGCTTCGTCATGAAATAATTGCATGATGAAACGGGTACATGATGAATCTGCTTTGGGATCTTGAAGATTGTAATTTGCTCCAGAATTTTGAAGATTGTAAGGAGTAAAGAAAAGAATGCATCAAATCATGAGTGAAATAAAAAATAATAATTTACATGAAACAAGTTTCACGAAGGTGAAACTGGTTCATGACATAATTGAATAATGAATGGTGAATTGCTTTCATGGTGAAACCCGTTTAAGTGATGGTGTAGGTGATCCATTTAGTATATGAAATGAAAAATGAAACGGGTGCATAATGTAGGCGGTTCGTCATGAAATAATTGCAAGATGAAAAATAAAATAGTTTTATTAATAATAATAAATGTTAACGTAATAATAAATTATTTTACAAAAAATATATTAGTTTCATTAATAATATGATACACATGATATGGTTTCCTTGAATAAATGAATATATGGTTTTACCCTTTTGCCCTTATCGATATTATAAAATGTATTTTCAAATTTTTTTTTTATTTCCTTAAATAACCTTGATTAATCTTAACCATTGATCAAGAAAATGGATGGGTGAGATTGGTTTACACGGTTTACACACATGGAGACGGTTTTTATTTGATCGCTCATATATATATATATATATATATATATACAATCAACTTGATATAATTTGGAATTTTACAAATGAAAACAGACGCGTTCTTTGTGTGTGATCCTTATAGGTTTACACACTCCTCAACAGTTAGGGATGAACCCATAATTTTTTCAAACAGTGATACCATTTGCCTATAAAAAACAAATGCAGGTACAAAAATTTTAAACAGTGACATCAGTTGACTAAGAAAATGACACTAACAAGATTCAAAATCAGGTTTGGGGTGGAAGAAAAGTCTTGCAAACCAACTCTACCAAATAAAACTTGTTCTCGTTGTAATTTCAAAATACATACGGTGACACACAACAAATTAATACAATTGCACCTTTCACGAACTTAAATTTTTTTACCCTTTAACAAAGGAATAATACGGTGGCACTGTGTTGGGTCCGTCTCTATTTGTAGTATCACCGTGTGACACGTGTTGTGAGCATATAATAAGTTACACTGTAAGATATGATATCGTATGATAACCGGTTATCATGATGATGTGACGAGTGATATGGTAACTAACTCAGTATATTTGCTGACATGGTTAGTGACATGAATTTTTTTAATATAAAACTAGTCTTTTTTAATCTATAATTAGTTTTCAACCAGTTATCCGGATACTTAAATGTTTAAAACTTTACATCTTGGATAGCAAAATGAAAGGTTTTAAAACACGTTACCCAAAACAAGAATCTAGTTAAAGTACGTTATTTTCTAATACAATTTACCATATTACAAAACAAAAGAAGAGTAAATTATGTTTTCAGTACATGTGGTTTCTTAAACTTTGTAAATTCCATCCATGTGGTTTTAAAACTGCAATTTTCATTTATATGATTTGTAACTTTACCTCTATTTTCGTCTTCAAAACTCACTCTTACATTTAAGTATGAGGGAAAAAGACAAAATTAACTTGTAAATATTAAAATTTAAATTATAAAGACAAAAACAACAAGGAATTACAGATTATAGGGTTAAAAATCACAATTTCAAGAAAACAAGGACTAATAGAAATTTTTAACAAACCATAGGGACTAAAAATGTAATTTTAATTATGAATCACCCATCCAAATCTGAAATGGCCTGATTCCCATTTCACCGCCAAATCTTTAGCGCCCTTTGAAACTTTTCAAAATTTCATCACGAAAACAATCAAATATCAATTCAAAGCAAAAACACACTCACAAATCGCAATCTTTCCCTCTCATTTCGATCTTTCGATCTCGTTTCCAACTTCCAGATTTCATTTTCATAGATTTATTCGTTCTCGATTCTTACCATCTTCTCCCAATCTTCGTTGTGCATAGATTCTCTAGCATTCGGCATATTAAATTGGTCTTCAAATCAGGAATTAGGGTTAGGGTTTTGTCATTTTAAGTGTTACAGAGATGTATGCTGATGGGGTGGAAGTTGCACTGAAGAGATCTAAACAATTCCGACCGTCGTAGAGAATTTTACCGGCAAGAGGTTCGATCTCATGAACTAGCACATCGAAAGATCTCGTATTTATATTCTATTTTTAGTAATTATGGTTAGAGAACAGAGTATTGAATCATTTTATACTAAATTGCGAGAATCTGCTTTAGCTTCAGCTTCCAACACTCCATTGCTCATATTCCCATCCACTTCCGATGTCGATTCCCTTTGTGCTTTGAAAATTATAGGTCATGTTTTAGAATCCGATTCGGTTCGATATGCGTGTTATCCTGTTTCTAGTTTCAAGGAGATTCATAAGTATGCTGGATCTGGTTTGTCTTCTTCAGCTGATGATCCGATTACTATACTTTTGATAAATTGGGGGTGCCATAGAGATCTAAGGAAGATTCTAGAGATAGGACCTGTCGCTCGTGTTTTTGTTGTGGATAGTCACCGCCCGATTCATCTTCATAATCTCAATCATCAAAATGATAGAGTAGTTGTTCTTTACACCGGAGACGATGAGACTCAAGCCGATTTATCGTATGATTTTGATGTTTCGGCATTAGCGGCCGCAAGTGATTTAAATAGTGACGATGAGGTGGAAGAAGATGAGTCTGGTAGTGAAGAAGAGTACGAAAGTGATGTTGATGAGGATCGAGATGGAAATGGGAATAGGAAAAGGAGGCGGGTTTCTGAAGATGGCGAAACGGACCCGTTGAAGCTTTTTAGAAAGCTCAAGAAAGAGTATTATCATATGGGTACTTTCCACGGGAAGCCATCAGGGTGTTTGATGTACGAATTGTCTCATTTCTTGAGGAAGAACACTAACGATTTGCTATGGCTGGCTTGTGTGGCCTTGACCGACCAATTTGTTCATGAAAGATTAACCAACGAAAGGTATCAAGCTGGGGTGATGGAGCTTGAACAGCACATCAATAGTTCAGGGAATTTAGATGCTGTTACTTCAGTAACTCTCAAAGATGGAACTAAAGTTTGTGCACCCGATGCTTCAAGAATCACGTATGAAGATGAGCCGAGGCTTATGCTATTACAAGAATGGAATCTCTTTGATTCGATGTTATGTTCTTCATACATGGCAACAAAGTTGAAAACTTGGAGTGATAATGGAACCAAGAAGCTCATGTTGCTTCTTGCTCAAATGGGGTTTGCACTTGATGAGTCCAAACAGAAGTTTCGGTTCATGAGTGTTGAAATTAAGCGGAATATGAAATATATGTTCGACCATTTTCTACCAGATTATGGATTGAACGACTTCTATTATCGCGGGTTTTTGTTGTTACATGGCTATAGTTCAAAAGTTTCAGCTGCAGATGTTGTTTATGGAGTTACTGCATTATTAGAGTCTTCAATTGATTCAAATGGCTCATGTGCTTCAAAGCAATTTGGGGAGGCATATGATGCTTTATCATTAAGGAAACTTGAAAAACTCGAAACTGGTATGAAACACGCCATCAAGATCCAACGTGCGATTCTTAGGCAAGGAAGCACCGCCATAACCAGAAAGGGTTCTATTAGAAGTGGAAGCAAATTCAGGTGGGTAAAGCTTGAAGATTCAGCCGATGCGAAGCTCCTGGGATACCCACAAGCTTTAACTAAATTCGGGTATTTCTTGATGGACGCTTTGAGGGAAAAAGGCGCGAAAATGAAGCCATTGATATGTGTTTGCTATACTCAAGGGAGGGAAAAGGTATTGATCGTTGGAGTTTGTGGTAAACCAAGGCTTGGAGCGGTTCAAGGAAATGCATTTGGGATTGCATTCAGAAACACAGCCGAGGAGACTGGGGCCGAGTTCTTTCATGAGCTTTTTGAGTCATCGTGGATCGTTTTGGATGCTGTTGCTGTAAATTCGTTCATGATTAGGCTAACCGAGAAGCTACTATGAACAACCAAATCCGAGAGTTAGTCTAATCAATCCTTTTTTACTTATATCTGCTTTACTTGATAGTTATTTCTTAGTTTATGTATCATTTTATCTTAGAGCCTGCAAGTCCTCGAATACAAAAGGTCGCAACCAAAACTGAATTGACCCATGTAAACCGAAGGATATGGGTAGGGGCTGGCTTACGTGCACCGACTGATCCTCTAGACGAATGGTTTGGAGTCATCACAGGTGAACTTCCATTGCCACGAGGATATATATTTGCTTACATTATATTTAGATTTGTACTACTAGATTCTTCATAAAGAAACTTAGCTCCTCTAATTGCTATATTCATCCCAGTAATTCAGGTAGAGTTGTAATGTGTGCATCTTTTCCAATGGAAACCCCCAATTGAGGTATTTTCTGTTAATTTGTCATTAGCATGAGTTGTTCCAGATATGTTCTATCAGCATGTGGTATGTGGAAACGGGTTGGTATTGGATGGGTAATGCATCCTCCATCCCGACCCTACCTCAATTGATATTGACGGGTTCGGGGGGAGAGGATTCTTGTTGGGTACCTGTTTAGTAAAAACATATATAAATAATATAAAATTATAATAAATCGGTACTATATTAATTACTCATTTTGAAAATCAAATATATTTATCTTTTAATAATAAATGTAAACATATGTATTTATTACACACTATATATGCATATTAAATAAATTAAAATTTTAGTCGGGATGGGATTAGGGACAGGTAATGCCATCTCCATCCTGACCCTGCTTAAGGTACAAAAAATCTCTTCCCCTGCTTTGTTATCTGTCAAAGTGGGGAATCCTGGTATGTTATGGTCGAATATCTGTAGGTACCCACCGAGAGTGAGAAAATGACCAAGTTTTTTCATATTTGCACAAAATGACTACCCAAATTGCTATTGGCGAAATGACAAGTGTCATTTTGTCATTGGTGGAAATTGGCAAGAACATTACAATTTGACAATTTACATGCATTTTTTTTTTTTCTGATCTATTTTGTAAGAAAGCAAGTCTTACCTTTGACATTGATGGGAAATGGCCAATAGCAAGTTTCTTTGACGATTTGGCTGGTCAATTCGTGGAAAATGAAAAGACTCGTATATTCACTTTCTTTTATGTATTACGATCATTTTATGATACGATAGAGTCTAATATTTCACCAAAGGTCATAGATTTAAACAAAAATCGTATTTAATTAAAGTTATATACCTAAAAATCTCTATTCGGATTCTTTCACAGTCAACTATTTATACATTATGACAATAGCCCTACGTCTATCATGACAAAGGTGAGGAACAAGGGGGCTCTCAAGACAATAGATATTTGACTAATTAACTTGATGAGATTACTGATGAATTATTATTAAATATTTTAAATTAATGTGTTGTTTGTTTATCTCTTAATAGTTTCATTAAGAAACAATATCTGAATCGCTAAAAGATGGATCTTGTTCGGCAAAAAGAAAGTATGTCTCTTATGGTTCTAAATCCTTGTGAATAATTTTGTATCTTGGGACTTCCCTTAACTATTTAACACCCTAATTTCATTCCATATAATTACTAAACAATTATATTTCATTTTGCATTACATTATAAGAGTCTTTTAACCATTTTGACCACTCAATCATTTTGTATCAAACCATTCAACAACTGTCAAATAACTCTTTAAAAAATACATAGAAAATGTTATGTTGAGTTTGATTGTTATGTTTTTGTTTAGTCTAAAACATAAACAATTAAGATTTTGTTGGTTTTAGATCGATTCGATATGATATGTTGTTTTGAACAATAAATGTTGTGTTTTTCTGTATTTTATATTTATAAATTAGTTTATTAATTTAAAACACTTATCAAATCATATTTTATTCAACATTAAATCATATAAACACTTAAACTGTTAATTACTATTCTGTCATCCTTTGTTCAACATGGTAATTAATTTTTTTTCATTTAAGGGGGTATTTGGGATTGCTTATAAAAACAACTTATTGACTTATTCCAGTGGGACATCGGTAATAATCACTTTTCAGTGTTTGGATAAATAACTTATACCGGTACCACACCGGTAATAAAGAGTTTTTCAAAAAGTTAAACTCTTCTGACTTATAATGAGTTGATAAGTGTTTTTGTAGAAAAATATAAGTTGTTTCAAATAAGCAATCCCGAACACCCCCTAAACCGTTCATGATAACATTTGTCAAACGTCTTTTTTTTCATATTCAAACATTAAATAATACAAATTCTTTGATCATTTAATAATTGTACAACAAATCGTTCAGTATCTATTAAACAACTGCAAAAAAATTTCAAATAAGGTATTAAACAGCCGCTAAGATTTTTCAAACACCACCTTATTCAAGACTGGTGGATTTTGGGTCATGTGCCTAAATTTCAAATTAAAATTATGGACAAATTTTTTTTCTAAATATATAATGTTTATATACGTTAAATAGAACAAATAAATTCATGCACCCTTCTCATATTTTGTGAGGTTTGAACCCCTGACATCCTAGGAGGCCAAAGACTCATATACCGCTACACCAAATGTCCTTTGGTATAGAAAAACTTAGGGGTTGTTTGTTTATCTCTTAATAGTTTTATTAAGAGACAACCTCTGAATAATTTTGTATCCTGAGCCCCCTTAACTATTCAATGCCCTAATTTCATTGTAAACAATTACCAAACAAGTATATTTCATTTTGCACTATATCATGAGATTCTCTTAATCATTCTGTACCAAACCATTCAACAACTGCCAAACAACCCCAACTCAAATTGTTAGATTAAGACGATCTAACAAATGTGATTAAAAAGAAGATTACAATGTCTTTTTAAATAAAAAACATCCCCTTATTTTTATAATTGAAAATCAACAAAATATAATAAAAATTGAAGCGAAACAAATTACACAAAATAAACGATTCTTTTTATTATTATTGATTTTTTAATATTTTCTTTTGTGGTTCTTCGATTTTGTTAGATCATCTCTAGATCCGAGCCATACAAAGACATCAGGGGTAGAATTGTCATGAGAAATGATCGATCCATTTTTTGTGGAGAATGAGGCAATTTCTTTGTATTCCTTTAAGGGTCATTTTACAACAAAACTAACGGCATGAAATTTTCATGAGAGCTTAACGGTATCTCTCTTTTTATGATCGGAATTTCTTTGGTTGGTATGCTCAGTAATCATAACAAGTTTTGAGTCTACGTTTTCCGGAAAATATTGTCTTTAAGTCATGTCATGTTTGTATCGATCATTAATAAGCGGCTAATTTGGATATACCAGTTTGGCATAATTTTGAATTTCAATTATCGAGTTCACTTAGAGTAATTTAATGACTCATAACGTTGACCCGAACTTGATCAGTGTCAATTAAATAATGCATTTCAATGTCGTTTTCTCTACAAGACAATTTCCGACTATCGACACCATTATTTGCACCAAAACGGTTTGTAATTTTTTTATACAAACAATAATTCATCTCCAACTTCTTACCCCGATTTTCAGAGACGGACTCAGAATTTTTTTTGAACGGTGGCACCATTTGAACATAAGAAAAAAAAAATATAGAATTTTTTTTTCAAACAATGACACCGTTTGACTATAAGAAACAAATATACGGAATTTTTTTCCAAATGGTGGAACCGTTTGACTAAGAAAATTACGCTAACATGATTCGTACTTGAGTGTGGGATGGAATAAAAGCCTTGCAAACCAACTTTACCAAATAAAACTTGTTCTCATGTAGTTTCAAAATACATACGGTGGCACACAACAAATTAATACGGTTGCACCGTTCACGAAACCTAAATTTTTTACCTTTCGGCGGAGAAACGATATGGTGGCACGTGCCACCCATGGCACCTAACTAGGTCCGCCCATGCCTTTTTTAATACCAAATAAAATATTTGAAGTATATTCATTTTAATTATATACATTTTCAATAATACTTTTATATTTACCAACTTTTTTTTTATTAACCTGGATATCCAACCCGTTATACGAGCCGACTAATCTCAGGGCGACCACATGCTTTGCTGATAGCCCGAAGTCACTGCATTTGAACTTACGTGGCCACAAAGGGATTTTTATTCCTTCTTGGATTTGAACCTGAGACATTCTGATACTTTTGACCTTTAGAGCTAAACTCAAATCAATCAGACACCACCCATGTGGTTTAATAACTTTACCAATAGACCCACATATTTTATATTTCACAATAACTTAATAAATTATATTATTATATTGTTTTAACCAAACCAAGTGTCGTTTATTAAATGCTTACTACGTAAGCCTTACTGGTAAGAGAAATTACCTTATCATTGAACATTCTAGGCCATCAAAATGAATTGTTAGGTGGCGTTTATTTTTTAAGAGGTGTTGAAGTCTTATTTCACTTTTGATTAATAAGAGGTGGTTCTGAAATCTGAATATATAAGACTGTTTGTTTTTGTAAATTGACAAACGTTTGAGTCTGAAATCTGAATCAATAGTTTGTTTTTGTAAAATTAGGTGCAAACCTTTGCAAAAATTCTCTAGATTTTCATTAAATTTTCATTCAGAAGTTCATCTCAACAATTGCCTAACAGATGAAAACAATAGCGTGTATGAGCTATAATAACATATCTAACAAATTATCTCCAAACATATTAGAGTAAATTACTTTTTTAGTCCTTATAGTTTGTTATTGTGATTTTTGTTCACATGGTTTGTAATTTATTGCTATTTTCGTCCCTGAACTAATTCTTACTTTTTTAAGTACAAGAGACCAAAATAATAAAGAATTGTAAACCACAAAGACTGAAACAACAATACTTTATAAATCATAAGAACGAAAATAACAATGATTTACAAACTATAAGAACAAAAATTGTAATATCTAAACTGCAAGGACGGAAATCGTAATTTTTTACAAAGCACGGAGATGAAAAATGTAATTTAATACATTGTCATCAATAAAAAAAACCTTAAATGTTTAGGAGAAGAATAATATTAAAAACGTTAAATGTTTAGGAGAAGAATAATATTATATTATAAGGTATGAAATATTTTAATAATATAATTTATGTTATTGTAATTTACAAAAAGCAGAAACCATTGGAACTGAATTTAATTTCTTTCGAAGATTTTGAATTTAGATTTACTATTTTAGTAAAAATAATATTTTACTAAAAATATGAAATATTTTAATAATATAACTGATGTTGTTGAAATTTATAAAAATTAAAACCGTTGGAACTGAATTTAATTTCCTTTGAATTTAGATTCTTTATTTTAGTAAAAATAATATTTTACTAAAAATATGAAATATTTTAATAATTTAATTGATGTTGTTGTAATTTAAAAACTTTAAAATATTTGATTCCTATCAGTATTTCCGAAAGTGTTTGTCAAATGGCAAATAAAGTAACGTACTTAAACTTGATTCTTATTTTGGGTAACTTACTTTTAAAACTTCCATTTTGATTAGACATGACAACGGGGCGGGTTTTGTAATCCCCGGCCCTGGTTTGTGGTAATGTCCCCCGGCCGCGGTCCCTGGCGGGTACGGGGATTATTATCCCGTCCCTGATCAGATTTCTAGCAATCTCCGGTAAAACCCCGGTCAATCCCCGTAAATAGTATCCTTTATTTTGATTCTATCGGGGATCCCCGGGACCCGTTTTAGCAGGGAATCCCCATCCCCGTTCGGGTCGGGTGAATCGGGTTCTCCCGCCGGATCAGGACAAATCACCATCCCTAATTTTGATACCTAAAATGTAAAGTTTTAAATATTTAAGTATCCGAGTAACTTAAGATGTAAACTTTTGGTACCTAAGATGTAAAGTTTTCAGTAAAAGAATTTTAAATACGAAAAATTATTAGTTTGTTAATAAAAAAAAAAGAATTTTATGTATTCATCAATAAATGATTTTGAGCCTTAAATGAATTGCTTTTTTAATACTAAAATCGATAAGTATTAATGTCACATATTAAATGGATATTTCATAAATATTGTGACAAATAACATTTTTTTAAAAAGCTAAAAGTTCCATTTGAATCTATTTTTTTAAAATATAAATCAACATATAAAAAAATTAATATTTTTTTTAAAACAAAGATTGAATTTATATTCGAATAAAATAGAATTATATCTGGTAGTTGAAAGTTAAAACTATGTAAAAATGTCTGAAAATATACTATAAGGTAGTGTTTTGGCATACACACCTTATAAGATATAGCTGTAAAGGGCATGATTGAACTGAATGTAACTAATTATTTGTTTTATATTTGGTGGGACTAGAACGTGACATAACTACACTGTTAAAAATATTGTCCATAAGTATACCTAATTTACCAAACGACCTTTGGGCTAGCGGTATCGTAACATTTGCCCTCCTAAGAGGTCATATGTTCAAACCTCATTAAATATGAAGAGAGTATATGAGTTTATTTGTTGTAATTACCGTATATAAATATGATATGCTTAATTTTATTATAAAAACTAAAGTTATAAAATATATATATATAATATTACTTATACGTTATAATTTATATTAATATACAATATAATAGTACTTTGTATAACATAAATATATATATATATATATATATATACACTATAATTTTAAATTTTATATAAATATATTAAAATATTGTATTATAATTTATAAAAATACACACACACACACACACACACATATATATATATATATACATATACTATAAAAGTACTCGTGCAATGCAACGAGATACATCTTCATTTTAATGTTTCGTTTTATTTTGTCTCTGTTGATATAATACGGTTTATGTGGTTTTGAGAAAGATAATGTTTTTACTCTTAAACAAAAATAAATTTGAAGATATCATATTAATTTAAAAAAATATTGATATTAATATCAAATTAAATTTTTAAAAGTTCCCGTTTTTTTGTACAATTTCTTTAATTATATTTTTTAATTATAATTTAATTTAGTTTTAATAGTGAAGTAATTTATTTTGGTTTAACAATATAATTTTTATAAAAATAATGATTTTGTTAGAATTCAATGATTATCCTAATTATATTATAGATTTTTATAATTAAAATTAGATGTTTATCCTGTATTTGATTATATTTATCTGTATTTAGTTATACAAATTCAAAAATGAAGCTTTAATAAGTTGTACTTACGCACAATTTACTTGTAATCTTAAATTTCAAGTACTATATACTAATTAACGGTATTTCATGCATAAGTTTCGTTTTTGGTATAATATTTTAAATTTTCTTGTAATTCAAATATTTTGATTTAAAAATAATGATTTTATATATTTAGTTTTAATGTTTAAATAGTCTGTTATATCATTATATTTCGACCAATATTCTATATTTGAACATATTTATCAATTAACTTTATAAAGTTAAAGTATTAAACTTTAAAAAGTTGTATTTATATGGTAATAAATAAACTTGAATTAGTTTATTGATATACAAAATAAATTAGGGAAAAGTTCAAAAAAACCCAATGGACTTTAGTGTTTGAAACCATTAAGTTCTTAGACAATTTTTTATAACAAATAAGTCATTGGACGATTCAAAATCTATTAAATAACTCACTGGAATTTCTAAAATTGTTATATACATCCTTATGACCTAAAAAACTGGTTAATGTGGTAAAATAAATAAAAAATTCTGAAAAAAATCAAATGAATTTTCATATTTTGAACGAATAAGTCTCTAAACATTTTTTGAACAAAAAAATAATAATACTTACACCTATAAAATGCAACAAATATATCAAAACAGTACTTGCATTTTACAAAAAAATATTTATATTTAAAAAAAATTATTAATGAAATTTATTTTAATAAAAAATATCTTATCAGTGATTTTTCAAATTAAAAAAAGTAAATAAAGATTTAAAAAGGATTATTGATTAAATTTATTTTAATTAAAAATAAAATATATTTTGTATATAGTTCTCAATACATTAATTTTTAATTAAAATAAATTTTATCAATTTTTTTTAAAATATAAATATTTTTTTCGTATATTTGTTTCGTTTTATAGATGTAAGTATTTTTTTTAGTTCAATTTTTTAAATGATTTAATCATTCAAAATATGAAAGTCTATTGGTTTTTTTAATACTTTTTTATTATTTTATCATATTAACCAGTTATATATGTCATAAGAATGTATCTAACATATTTTAGAAAGTCCAAGAAGTTATCTAACATGTCTTAGAACGTTCGATGACTTATTTATTCCAAAAAATTGTCTAAAGATTTAATTATTTCAAACACTAAAGTTTATTGGGTTTTTTTTAGACTTTTCCCAATAAATTATTTATTCCTCAATAAAAGTGTGCCTTAAATGTATTGCTTTTTAATATTAAAAATAATAAGAATTAATATTTGTTTTTTCAAGAAAAAAAGGAACAATGTCGCGTATTAAATGTATTGATTAATATTTTAAAAAACAAAAAAAATGAATTCATTTTTAATTAGTCGTGTATTCAATATAACGAATTGTAAAATTTTATTATAAATTAAGAATGGATATTTAATACGAATTATTTTTAAAAAATAAAAAATTTATTTTTGAATAAAATATAAATTATAAGTGATGGTTGAAGATCTTATAAAAGCCTGAAAAAATCGACATGAATATCAATTAGATTATAATTTATTTGATTTAAAATTTAATTATAATTAAATATGTTAGATTTAAAATTAATTATGCAAATTATTTAATATTAATAATTGAATAATCTGTTATATTAATATAGTTGGATATTTATCATGTATTTGAATGTATTTATAGGTTAGGGGCCGTTTACCAAATATTTATCTGGTCAGTGCTTACTGGGTCAATTAACTTAGTGGGTGAGGATACGAAGGATAAAAAATCTTAACCGATAAAAAGAAAGGTAATAATTTGAGAGTCTTAACTGGTAAATGAGAGTAGTAATTCGTACCAGTAAGCAATTACCAGGTAAGCGTTTGGTAAACGACTTCTTAATTTATTAAATTAAAAACTGAATTGTGTTTGTTGTATTTATGTAATAAAATTATAAAATTAAATATTAAAAAGGTATACTTGAATTAATAAATATTATTTTTAAATTTTTTTACTGAATATATTATAATATAGTAAAAGGTGTTGGAGCATATTTTAAAGTCAAAAGTCAACCTTTGAATAGTTTGTTGGCGTTAAATGTGATAATTAATATAAAATCCAAGTAGTTAGATTTTGTAAAATATTAAAAAGTTGAGGGTAGTAAAGTGTAACATTTCGAAATCAAAATTCTCGCGGGTAAAACCGATTACATCTGATGCGTGACGTGTCATCGTCTGAGGAGACGTGTTTTGTTTTTAGACATCCACCGACCCGACCCGTTTATCAGGACAACTTTTTGGATTTTACCCTATAAATATTTCCCCCCTTTTCTTGTTCTTCATAAACCCTAGACAGGTCTAAGAACACTGAACTCTCTCTGTATGATCATCATTTTATTGCTCTAGGTTTTCGATCATTCGAAAATCGCTGCAGCTCAGGTTGAATTTCGATTTGAGTTTGTCAATTTTAGTCGATTTTTCAATCCTCATTGTCATCAATCGTTTGATGTTCATGTTTTTTTTTTTTGTCAATCATCTTATTTTTACTTCAATTTGTGACGAATTTTTTTTTTTAACTTGTTTGCTTAGGGTTTGATTGAATCTTACCTTCTTTCTGCGACTGTGTCGTGAATTATGAATTCTACATTTGATCACAAAGTTCTTTACAAAATTTTAAAGAAAAAGCTAACACGCTTACGTTTCCATTCGTTTTTTTGAAATGCACACATTTGATTTTGATCGCTTTGGATTCTCAATTTCTATTCATACCTAATGCAAGTGTGTTTTTTTTGGAAGGGGAGGCGTTGAGGCATGATTTTACATGCAAATTTTGTTAATTTAAACGATCATCAAATTTTTTTTCTTGTTATGGTTAACATAGTTTTAGGAATTTGGAAAATTGAATTTTGAGTAGAGGGATATGCACGAGGTTGATTGCTTGTGGATGTGTGTTCCTTCGGATTTTGTGTTTTTTAATGATTCTTGAAAGTGCATGAAATTGAGCACCTTGAATCTCACACCTAAAAACAAGGGGTTATGTATGTGTGGGGGTTATTGAAGCATATTAGAATGGCTTCGGATTTGGTTTATAGTTTTTAGCTGTTTTAGATTTTCTTTTCGTTTTTTGTTTCTCAATTCTATGAATCGGAATTTAGATAATAGAAATATGAATGATCATGCACTGTATATGCACGGCCAATTTTTTTTTTTTTGTAAACTTCCTGTGTTATATGTTTGTTTGTATCATTTGATTATGCCGATGGTGAAGCATCTTAGAAGTACCGAGTACGCGAAGATTTTAAATAAATTTTTAAGGGATAATGTGGTGCTGATTTGCCAAACAATTAATACATAATCTTTCTGGTTGAGCTAGTTTATATTCCTCTACAGTAGTGATCTTCTTTTGGCAATTTGATCTCTGATGATACTTTTATTTAAATATAATCAGGTTGTTTCTGATCATGAACGGTGCTTTTCTTTATCTGAACTGATTTGAAAATCCAGGATTTTTTAATTAACAGTATTAGAAAGAAAGGTTTTATTGCAAGATGGGCTCTTCAATCTTTGGTCGTAGATTGTTTTCTCTAGTATGTTGGCCATGGATCATGTCATGCTATATCAACTTACACTTATCTTGATTAAAAGCTGTGTTGTTAGGCTGTAAATTATTATGAAGTTTCCTTTTTCACGATTACTCATTTCAGGGGAGTGTGGAGCTCCTAGATCATCACCATGAGCAGACAGGGGCAAACTATAATGTATGCAAGGGGTGGTAGGCGAAGGAAGGTGCTTGACGTGGATCTCAACGATCCTCCACCAGCTGATCATAATGAGCCGATCCCACTTACAATTAATGTGGTTGAGGCTCCTCCGCCTCCGGTTCAGCAAGTCCATTCGCGAATTGTTCCTGTGTCTCTGGTCAGGCAAGATTTTCAGCCACTGGATCCTACGCCACCTGTACCAATCGACGTTGAGAACTTGGATGATGATGTTATCATATCAACCCTCACAGATTTCGAAGAAGTACATTCTGTGTTACACTGAAAAATTAAGTGCTTTACATTTTTATATCTTTATGAAGTATTCAGATTATTAAGCTGTGGTTGTCTTCTGTCAGGCTAGGAACAGTTCTCGAAGACTTCAAGCAAGGACTTCAGTGGTTAATGTGGAATCAGGTAAACACTGCTGGCCTCAACATGCTCATTCTCACACTCCCCTGATGATATAACCATGTGTGGCTTTTTATGTCTACTTCATTATGTGGTTCCTTCATGAGCTATTGTTGTATTGTGGACTTGATATTATTCTCCAATTTGAAATAAACTATATGTCCTCTATATTCAGTTTTGCTAGGTCATTACTGCCACAAAAATAAGGGTTCTGTACAACTCTTAAGGCTTTTCTTTTATAATATTGAAACTGTAAATATCTATGTTCTCTTTTTCGACAATAATCTTCTGGAACTAATGACTTCGATGGAAAGAGTTATCGGCTTAGTTTAATGCTTAGACAGTGAGACAACAATTATTTTCTTTCTTCTGTTGATGGAAAGTATAAGAAGAGAACTTGCATATCATAACTGTCTCTTTTTTGACTCATACGATGTTTAGACTCCTTTTGCTTGTACATAATTCCAATCTCTCTCTCTTAAACTTATAGTAGGGTGTTTAATTATTTTGAGAAAGTACTGGCTAACCTATGAGGTCGGCATAGCGTGTTCTTTGAATCACTTTTTTTGAGGTTGTGTGCCAGGAAGTAGATTACCGACCACCTTGGCAGCAGGCATAAGACCTTATCCTCTTGCCTTAGGTGTTCCCATATGAAGAAAATAGTAGCACATCTTTGTAAAAGGATCAAGCTTTATCGATTTGGTTTTGAGATGCGCTTCTGACATATGTGTCTTTTAAATCCTCTTCCTTTTAATTGTTTAATACTCAGTTACCGACTGTGCAGATAGTGTGGCTGCTAATTATTAGGTTTTCGTTATTTGTTACTGCTTTTTCATAAATACTTTCGACTTCCATTGTTTAATAACTTGTACATTAATCACTTCTTGGGTTTCCAATTAATATGCTGCAACCTTAATGGAGGTACAACTTGTAATCTTAAGAGTCTTGATCTGTAAACCCATTCTTTTAATGATGTACTTATTAAGAAATATTTTCTTTTGCTAAATTTGAGATTCTCATTACTTTCTTAAATTCTTAAATAAGAATGTGTAATTAAATAAGTACATATCATACGTGGTCCAGTTAAAACAAGTAATCAATGGAAAGATAATCTTGTAATAATCGCCACCATTGGAGCTCAAGACATGACGTGGATGAAATATGAAGGGCTACTGTTTTCTTCTTTCTTGGCATATGTCTTTGAGCATGTGTCTGATATCTTTTTCTTACTTCTTAAGTTGCAATTGTCTTACGTGATTTGTAAATGGCAGCCGGGCCTTCTCTTGTTCTTGGTTCTCGCCGGCGCAACCCAAGGAAAAGATCTAACCCGCAGCATCTAGTCATCAATTTGGAAGGAAGTAGCTGTTCCATGGTAATACCAATATCTGATGATGTCTTATATGATGTATTCCTTGTAAGCATGGTTTATCTGATATGTTGCCCACACAATCACTCACACACACACACAAATATATATACTCGAGTGAGCGATGCTTAAAGGACTGTGTTGCAAGTGTTTTGTTTGCTGCTCTTCTTTAAATTAAAAATGGCCGTTTTGAGTTCAACTAGAACTGGTCTAACATTTTGAATGGTGTGCAAGACCTCAGAAAATTAAGCAAATTGCAAAAATTGTGCCGAGCTCTTTATAGTGACTTGTTCTCAGCAATGCGTTTGACGAAATATAGTACACGTTTTTATAATAACTTCCATCCTACGTAATGAAGTTCATTTATATGCATTAAACGTCTGATTCTCTTATAGTGGTGCTGGAACAACCATTTATTTAGACACATCTTTCTTGATCTCATGTCTCTCATTATGCACTTTAACTATTTACGTTATTATTAACATATCAAATGAAAACTGATTTCTTTTTATAATTGAAACAGAAACAGCCTGTGGCGGCACCACCACCGCCGCCACCACCACCACCACCACCACCTCCACCTCCACCTACCTTCACCTGTCCAGTTTGCATGGGACCATTAGTTGAGGAGGTGACCACAAAATGTGGTCACATTTTCTGCAAAGGTTGCATCAAAACTGCTATTGCTGCTGTGCCCAAATGTCCAACCTGTCGCCGCAAAGTCACCAATAGGGACATCATCAGGATCTACCTTCCTGCCGCCAATTGAGCTCGAGGTGTGTATTCCTAATCTCTTTTTTTTCTAGCGACATTAAAAGCGTACTCAGGGTGGTCTTTCATCTTATAAGAAAAATAATATAACCAATAGTTAAAAAGTTTGACAACCATTGAACCACCAGTAAGAACCCGAATTCTAGAGCCCTACTTCGTCCCAGCGACCCAATCGTTGAACCATTCAACTTGGAGACCTAGTGAGTGATCCAATGGGTCTACCCATTTACTAAGGGGTTGAATTACATGTCACTCAGTAAGGGTTAGATTTCTAGCATTGAATCATATGGTCTGTGGACCCCACCTTCGAGTGGGAATACATTGCGTTAGTTTGGTTCGGTCCGTGCTGGTTTGATTTGGTTTTAAAGTGAATTCTTTTGACGTTTCATTACTTGCTGATATACGATTGCACTTATAATGGCAGATGTGTGAGCGGTCAAAGAGTGCGTTGTTGGATAAATGTAGGGAGATCATGAGACTCGTTGACCAGCATGAAGCAAACTTTTTCGTTTTTCGTTTTCTGGTTTAGTCTAGGGATGGGGAGGTAAGTCGGGATTCCCCATAGGATCACAGTTTTGTTTTGACACCGAGTGTTGCTTGGTCTCCTTGTGTTGTTGAACGTTTCCCTTTTTTATTAAGGTTCTGTGCAGCTTATGAGACGGTTTTTGTTTAGCACAGATATATCAGTAGTTATATTTGGATTTGGATTTCAAACGAAAATGGATGCTTGTTTTTCGGATTTTGGTTTCTGTTTTTGGTCAGTATGCAGTTATGAATGTGGTTTATATTCACATATGAAGATGATGCTAGAATGATTTATTTCCTTTTATAGAAAGATATACATATAGGAAGAGAATAGAGGTCATGGACTTCCTTTTTTGGCTTTGGCTTTCTCTACTGGCCTCGTTTTCCACTGTTCTTCTTGTAGCCACCATACCCGTTGTTCCCCCCCGGCCAATACCCACCACCCGGCCAATAACCACCGCCCGGCCAATACCAACCGCCCGGCAAATAACTGCCACTGTATGGATATGGGTGTGGGTTCCCACCATAACCTCCACCACTGCCATAATCTCCTCCATCTCCACCATACACGGTGCCAGGACCTTTTCCAGGTCCACCATACCCTCCACCGCCGGGCCCCCCACCATATCCACTACCATCTCCTCCGCCACCAGGTTCTTTTTCATGTCCTTCATCTCCTCCACCTTCATCAACAGGACCTTTTCCATCGTGTCCATCATCTCCTCCGCCTCCGGGACCACCACCATAACCACCCTCATCTCCACCTTCGTCACCGGGACCTTTTCCATCATGTCCGTCATCTCCTCCACCTCCAGGACCACCACCATAACCGCCCTCATCTCCGCTTCCACCACCAGGACCTTTTCCATCATGTCCGCCATCTCCCCCACCTCCAGGACCACCCTCATCTCCACCTTCGTCCCCGGGACCTTTTCCATCATGTCCGCTATCCCCATCACCTCCGGAACCCCCACCATAACTGCCATCATCTCCGCCTTCATCACCAGGACCTTTTCCATCATGTCCATCGTCTCCTCCACCTCCAGGACCACCACCACAACCGCCGGCATCTCCACCTGCATCACCAGGACCTTCTCCATCATGTCCGCCGTCATCACCACCTCCAGGAACACCACCATAACTGCCAGCATCTCCACATGCAGGACCTTTTCCATCCTGTCCACCATCTCCTCCGCCACCAGGACCTTTTCCATCATCTCCACCTCCAGGACCACCACCATAACCACCCTCATCTCCACCTCCACTACCAGGACCTTTTCCATCCTGTCCACCATCTCCTCCGTCACCAGGACCTTTTCCATCATCTCCACCTCCAGGACCACCACCATAACCACCCTCATCTCCACCTCCACTACCAGGACCTTTTCCTTGTTGCCCATCATCACCACCTCCAGGACCACCACCACAATCGCTGGCATCTCCACCTGCATCACCAGGACCTTCTCCATCATGTCCGCCGTCATCACCACCTCCAGGACCACCACCATAACTACCAGCATCTCCACCTACGTCACCAGGACTTTTTCCATCATGTCTGCAAACATCTCCACCTTCTCCGCCAAGACCTTTTCCATCTTGTCCACCATCTTCTCCGCCACCCGGACCTTTTCCATCTTGTCCACCATCTCCTCCGCCACCAGGACCTTTTCCATCATCTCCACCATCTCCTCCGCCACCAAGACCTTTTCCATCTTCTCCACCATCTCCTCCGCCACTAGGACCTTTTCCATCATCTCCACCATCTCCTCCACCTCCAGGACCACCACCATAACCGCCCTCATCTCCATCTCCGCCACCAGGACCTTTTCCATCATGCCCGTCTCCTCCGCCGACATCTCCACCTGCATCACCAGGACCAGGAGCACCACCAGGACCAGGAGCACCACCACAACCGCCGACATCTCCACCTGCATCACCAGGACCTTCTCCATCATGTCCACCGTCATCACCACCTCCAGGACCACCACCATAACCGCCAACATCTCCACACGCAGGACCTTTTCCATCCTGTCCACCATCTCCTCTGCCACCAGGACCTTTTCCATCGTCTCCTCCATCTCCAGGACCACCACCATAACCGCCCTCATCTCCACCTTCGCAACCAGGACCTTTTCCATCATGTTCGTCATCTCCTCCACCTCTAGGACTACCACCATAACCGCCGGCACCTCCACCTGTGTCACCAGGACCTTTTCCATCACGTCCGCAGTCATCTCCTCCTTCTCCACCAAGACCACCACCTCCGCCATCACCAGGACATTTTCCATCATCTCCTCCACCTTCGCCACCTTCAGGACATTTTCCATCATCTCCGCCATCCCCTCCACCTCCAGGACTCCCACCATATCCGCCATCCCCTCCACCTCCGGGACCCCCACCATATCCGCCATCCCCTCCACCTCCGGGACCCCCACCATATCCGCCATCCCCTC